ATATATATATATATATATATATACATCAACATTTTAATAATCCATCAATACGATAGATATATAAAAAATTAATTTTTCAGTTACAAAAATTTAAAATATTTCCTCCTGATTTTCCTTTTTTCCTTCCTTATTTTGCGGTAATTTTTGCCAAAGAAATTTGTATATGTCGATTATTTTTGTAAATGTACATTCGAAGGAAAATAAAATGGAATATTGGAAACAAGAATAATATAAAAAGAACATTAGGATAAGAAAAAAATAAAGACTATTGGAATAATAAGAGAAAATTATCTTCAGGGTTAGCGTAAGGTGATGTGATTAAATAGTCACCGAACGGCGTTGCAAACCGAAACAACCGCCGTCAGATTAGCTGTATCGTTAAAGTTCGGATATTCTCGACGTATGTCGGACGCGTTCGTCAAAAGCAAAATGTCGTCTGCTAGGTGCGTCGTCAGGAACCGGGTTGTATTTCTAACGTGAAAATTGTCATGATAAGTGATAATGCGATATTTTTACATACAAGTACATAGTGTTTTCTGTTGGAAGATATATCAAAAGTCGCAAAAAGATATTTTTTGGATCGGGCTCTTTCGTTGCCGACAAAGAAACTTAAGAAGAATACCGGTGAACATTGATTTTTCCTGCTTTCGCATCTTACTCGACAGATAATCAAACGGTAATGCATATCCTTCGTATTCTGTCGATTCATTAATATTGTAAGATTTTAAATGACTATGTATGTTTATTAAGGAAAATAGATTGAAAGGATATAGTATATTATATCATTTATATTGTATCGCGTGAAACTGATATTTTTATTTCGAGAGTTGAACCGATATGTTCCAATGAATTACAATTACATTTCATTATTTTGGCACGGTCTTGATTATCTTGATTAGTTATTTGCACGAATGTCTTTCGCAGATGTCGCTGATTCTAGATATCATACGTTGCTTACAAAACTTTCACGCTGAGTAGAAAATATCAAAATTTTATAACGTTAATTCAATATTGATAACGTTCTTCGAGAGTATCGTGTATATTTCTTTGTGATGCGCAAACTCAAAGAACTCGGTGTAATTTCGTTGGAACATTATTAACTGTGTTCTTGCTACATTTCTGCTAGGTTAGGTTTAGCTGGAGAATAACCAGATTATATCATTGTTTTAATTAATAACAAAAATCCTTTGAAGCAAGAATGTTCTCAAGCATCTGAATATTCAGCAAAAAGAAAAAACGTACAAAAAATATTTATTGCATTCTTAAATTTGAAGTATAGAAAAGATGGGAATGAAAAGAAGAGAATTACTTCGCGTGGTTGCATGCTTATCAACTGAAGCCTTTTACGTTGCGAATATAGAACGGATGTCCGTATTTTTTTATTTAGAGTAGAGAAAATTAACTAAGACTATGAAAAGTTTCATTCGTAAAAATATTTATGTGTAAATGTCTTAATTAATAATTATTTGAATAAGCATTTCGAACGGACTATCTTACCTTGGACAATAATAGAATCATTGTTAAATAGATAATAAAATGCCTCCCAAGTTTCATTTGTTTCTAGCACAAATGTATGTAAGTGACTAACCCTGTTTGAAAATAGAATGGTGAGCTCTACATCAAAGAATTTATGCATATTTCAATTTTTTCCAATATCGCTTGAGAATTAGTTCGACTTGATATGTTACCACATCCGCTTCCGGGTCTTTATCGGATCTGTCTCGATCTGTGTATCTTGCACCATTGATTTGTATGTGCGATATGTACAAAAGTTAAATAGAAAATGCGTTAAATGTCATTATTAACATAATCAGCATTCACTTGCAAATGAAGTTTCATGATATTTCGAACATCCTTAGAAAGCGCTTATACGATAGGAAGCATTACTTTCCCCACAGTTATGAGTCATAATTCGAGTACTAAAATATTAACGCAATGTTGTTTGTTCCGTTTCCTCTCTCGACACGTATACGTTGCCGCGGATATTTTGAAAACCAAATACTTTCACGATTTACAATTAATGCCATTCTCAAGAGAGAAAAAGAAAGAGGGAAGAAAAAAGTAAAAATATTTTGTTTATAGGATGTTTCGAAAGGTGGACACTATTGAGGACAGCGAGGGCGATGGAACTAGACTATGGCACTTTGACAAGTGAAATACTGAAGAATCTTCGATTGGTAGCAAAGATCGTGATACGTAGAAGCAACGACAAAAATTCGAGGCCGTGTCTGAAAGGTCGGATCTGACCTAATCATTTTCAACTAAATCTAACCTAACCTAAGCGCCGCTGTCGACGAAGATACGAAGCTGATTACTGATCATCGGCATATTGGAAACACGTTGCATTGTTGGCTAAAACTGCTACACGTATCGACGAGTATCATCAAAAGGACGCCAGACATCGCGTACGCTTTCCCTGTTCATTCGTCTCCTTGCCACCTCTCTTCCTTCCGTTCCGCCGGTGCAGTTCGTGCACTTCTACGCAGCGGTACGCTACTCTATCCTACAACAGCGTCGTGTACAGTAAATAAACGCGCAGCATGTTGGAAACGAGTTCCACGTGCTTTCTGTTTAGTTGAGACTATTTTCAAATATAAAGCTATTCGTTCTGAAACCAAGGGAGAGAAACAGAGAGAGAGAGAGAGAGAGAGAGAAAGAGAGAAAAGAAAACATAGCTAGTATGATTTACATCTGAGAGGAAGAGAGTAGTAAAAAAGGATGTCGTATCTAATATCGGAGCAAAGTTGCCAGCTGCCTATCGATAACACGGCGATTTAGTTCGGTGCACTATTTGCCGTTGCCTTCGTGAACGATATTGAACGAAGACGAAGACGTAATACTTCGGGACTCTTCTGTGCCACGGTTGTGAAATTGCCAAGTGGTTGTGAAACAGTGCCAAGCAAAAGAGGAGTTGCACGAATATGGTGTAAAAGAAGAAAAAGGAGAAGTTTCAATCACAGTTTTAGAGGATGGAGTTCGAGCTGGACGGAAGTCTCAAAGAATGGGTAAAGGATAAACCGCTGAGTATTCTACAGCTCGATCCTGCTGATAGAGCCGTCTTACGGATTGCCGGTAAGTGTCAATTGTTATTTCTATTTCTATTCTCACAGCCGATTACGTATTTGAATTCTCTACATATTATGACGTTTCACCTTTCGTTTTTGTTCCAAGTTCGATTCATGAATTCATGTTACACAAGGCTTGCTGATTTGTCAAAAAAAAAAAAAAAATAAATAAATAAATTCTAGCCTTCTTTTTTGAGTTTAAGTACTGGGTGTACACAAACTATACGAAGTATTCGATCAATTGCAAAATGGGCATCATTATACACGGCTATGACGTTTGTCATGCTTATATCACGCCAACACCGTACTATAATCGTACTATAATATTAATCGACAATACGTATGTAATTGAATATTAATGTATAATGAGTATAAATTAACCACACCGATAATCATCTACTATTATTTTTCAACTCGAACGATATTAATCGAGCAAACTTATACGTCATAACTCGTCAGCACGTGGCTTGTAATTGATGAAATTCTTTAGATCCTTCTATCAATTTTCTTTCGAATTAATACAAATGTATTAACGCATAAGGATTTCGTGAGTAGCCTATTGCTATTTTCTACGTATACACTCGCGTTCATATATACGAAGGGAAGTATAGTGATGAGAAATTAACCACGTTGTAAATTCTTCCGATGTAGGAAATGAGAATTGTTTGCGGTACAATGCTGCGCCGACCTTCGATGCGGGGTGTTGACCAGGAATAGACACACGAAACCATTCGATAAATATCGGGTTGCAGTTTGCCGATCATCTTACCGTGAGAGTTCTTTTCATTTGGTTAGGTGCCTCTGTCACAAGTCGTTTTCCGCGATGCTTTGATTGTCGAACGAATTCCACCTCTCATTACTTCGAAATCACAATTAAACAGATCTCTTTAACGATCATCCATTTCGCTATTCTCACTCTTTTTTTTCCTGTTTTCTTTCTTCTATAAGGATAGGACAAACGTGTACGTGCATATGAACGCATGCATGTAGAATACATCCGATTCGTGAAATTACAGGCTCTAATTCACGCTCACAAAAGCAACGGTTCCGCACCATTTTCAGGCAGCGTCGTTAAAATGGTATTCGATCGAAGTAACGTAACTCTCGTGATATCGTAAATATCATGATATTGTAAATATAGCGTAGGTAGGAGCCAATATCGAAGTATCGCATCTTGAGCACGCGAGCATAATTGTTTCTAATTATAGCAACCTATTGGTGCGCTATCGTGAATGTTCTAGTTATTCTATCGAGTACCGAGGGCCGATTCTCTCAATTGCCTTTCTACTCTCGAGATTCGCGCTGTTTCTACTTCCGCTATTTTATTCATCGCTTTCTGAGAATATGAATCTCGATTGGTGGAATGAACTTTGAATCACATTGAACCGCGTTCCGGTTGAGAAGTATGAATGAAGACACTTGTGCCGCGATCGAAGACAGCAGATGATCGAGTAACGCGTGGCTAACGATCTAATGTCGTCGCGTCGATGAACTCACGACTGTGCTTTTCAGCGGTCACGGTCCATGAGATCTTCGTCCCAGAGAGGTTATACTAGTTCACTATGCCTACGCGACGGCAAGTAAGGAGCGGAGGCGGCTGGTTAGGTGGGTTCGCATTAATCTAGGAGCATGGAGGCGGCAACAGGTGCTTAGGTCACGGTTCGATGCCCCAGCCTCGAGAACGTCTTCTTTTCCCTTCCTTCTTTTTTGCTCCTACAATCTTTTTCCCTTCCTCTTTGTTACTTTCTTCCTTGTGGCAAACTCGTTTCATTTAGACATTTAGCGTCATTTGCGCATCATTTGAGCCATTTCTTTTTTTAAATAAAACTAAAGATAGCTTAACGCGTTTGCTTTTTCTACGAAATTGTCAAATATCTCAAGAATATTTATTGGACAAAGAAGTGCTATATGCGGAAAGTTTCGAAAATCGAGTAAGTAAGGAGAGGACAGAATTTGAACAGGTGCATTGTTTTGGCAACCTATTGTAACGTTTGCGTTGCGATATCCGGTCTTCTTTATCTCGTACAAGGTTTCACAAGCCGCTCGCTAGATGTCCTGGAGTACTTGAAGTGCCTGAAGAGAGAACTCGGTGCATCCGATGCACCTGTGTCTCATTTCGCACTTTTTGTTTTTGGAGATAATAAGAGAACTTTTCAAGACGAGTATAAATAAGTATGTTTCTAAGCGAGAAGATAGAACCTTCTCCAAGCGAGAAGATGGCACTTTAATTAATTGGTTGGAACTGATTCACCTGACAATTAAGAGGCAGCTTACCTGTTTTGAAAGGCTTTCTCGTCGAGTATCCCCTTGTTCCTTGTGATTCCTTGTTCAAGGAAGAGGAAAATGTTAAATTATACATCTTTGGCGATAGTCCAGATTCGATCAACCGTTTCGACGTTCACAATCAGACTAAGTCTCTTTGCCAGAATCCAGGTTTTAATATATATTGTGTGGGATAAGCATCGGCGCGATCGCGGTACAGTTAGGAATTCGTGTGTACATGCCAGCAAGGAAGTAAAAGATAAAAAAAAAAAAAGAATAAAATAAAAGTAACAGATAAAAAGTTGCCTGGTAGGATCCAGGCCATAAGACGGGAACGATGAACCGCTGTTTCGAACTCATCGAATATGTAGTAGACATTACGATATAGCGTTACAACAGTGGAAATTATCTCGTTTTCGGATAAGCACATTCAACTCGGTCAACGGTTCTACTTAGCAAAGGAAAATTTGTTGGCGAGCATTCGAGTTCATTGCCTAGAATGGGAAAAATAACTGTGTTCAATACACGTCAACAGCTTGCAAAAGGCCGATCTCCTATTGAAATTGAGATTATTTCGACCCTTGGCATACTTGTATGCGAAGTATACCTGGTTTTGCTTTCAAGAATTATTTTCTTTCCGCCTTGGTTACCTGTTTGTCAACTTGTCAGGTATCAAAAGTTCAACTACACGTTTTACTTTTGGTAGTGCACAAGATGATTAGAGTCATTTAAATCCTTTAAAATTATAGTTTTTCAAAATATAAACATCGTGAATTAGTTTATAAAAATAAATAAAAAAAATTTATTTATTATTACATATTCTATATATATATTCTATATATATACATATTCTATATCTATATTTTATATATATACATATTCTATATCTATATTCTATATATATACATATTCTATATATATACATATTCTATATATATAAAAATAATTTATTAATTATTACATATTTTATATATTATACGTAGAATATATTAGAATATATTATATTCAGAATATTAATCACTAGATATTGTTTATCCTCTAAAAAAAAATTTTATTCTCTAAATATTATTTTAGGCATTCATTTACCGTTTTATTCTACATCTTTGTACTTTGGAATAATAATCAATATCTTTTTTTTCGTCGGTAAGATTCTCATTGTCAGAAACAAAGGAATTGGATAATTTCGCACGACACAAATGTTATCGTGTATCTTGAATCTTGATAAGATAAACATTTGTATATTCGCGACTGGAGCGATCCGGACTAAAGTCGCATATTTAGTATCCACATCTGTTAGCGGCGATGCCGCGTTTGCCGTCGAGTTTCACCACGAACATAAACAGGGAGGTAGAATATCGGCGACGTTAGGAATGATCGGCGAAGAAAAAATGAGGTACATTTGGTCATTTGGCTTGGTGCCAGATTGCAAGGATTCTCACGGCGGCTTTACTCTGTCTGGAATACCGCGTCGTTTTCTTACTCGCGATTTTTTCTTTAGTCAGGCAAGTCAAAGAACTTCTCGCGAAACGGTGAACGATAGAGGGCTACCGTATTGAATGAACATCAAAGTGCAATAGTATTTATGTATGAACGTACAATGATCCTTGTATTGCTCAGTTCGGTGTTCGGTGTTCGGTGCATTGAATTTGTGTTTCGCGGTATTTCGCACGGCGTGGCCCCTATGGTTACGCGACCTGCCCTACGAACCTGTTTGTAACGGCAGCTATTCTACGGCGCTGTCAAAAAGACAGAGGCGTTGTCTGATCTTTGTCTATCGCAGCTGTCCTTTGATCCTGTCTCTATTCGGTTCTCGGCTGGTTTCACCCCGACCCTCGACGTGTCGATTTCTCTGTTCAACGAACGGGGAAAGTGAAGGATGAACGAGCTGCAATGGCGGGGCATGCGAGGAGTAGGTTCTGGAACCTCGAGGCTTGAGGTAGAGGCAGCTTGGGTGGGCGGCAGTTGTCCAGGCCGCCGCAGTCTGTGTCGAAGCGACGTGCTCTACACGACGGAGCGGCAAATCGCGTCTTCTCTAACTCGCAAGCCGCTTGCTCGCTCTCCTCTCCCTTCCTTTTTCCCCTCTTTATTCTCCCTCCCTTCCTACTCTTTCTCTTTCTATCTGTCTGTCTACCTGTTTCTCTTTAACGTTTCTCTTCTCTCTCTCTCTCTCCCCTTTCTTCCCTCCTTTCCTTTCTCTGTCTCTATCTCTGTCTCGTTCTCTCGTCTTTTCTCCCTTCACGCGTCTCGTTGCCATTTCTTCTCTTGCTTGGATCGGTCCCTCCTTGCGTTCGTCGCGCTGTTCCTTATCCATTCGTTGTTCCTTTTTCCTCGGTCCATTCATCCTTCTCGGTCCACCTTCCCGTCTTTCTCCGTTCGACCGTTTCTTCGGCGCGAACGTGTGCGCGCGTTCCTCTCGCTGTGAGTCTCTCTGTCCTCGTCGTGCGGCCTACAGCTACCTGGCCGTGTTACGGGGTTCCGGATACGCGCGTCGACTTCGTCAACGTTGGTCGTGCGGTACGTTCTACCAAGAATTCCAGTGCCACGTCTTGAGTAGCAGCGGTTGGTCGGTTCGGATCGGACGGCTGGACGAACGATTAGTTTGGTTAGTTGGTCGCTGCCCTGTCAGTTGCTGGATAATCGCGTCAACAGTGTTCTCACGTATATATATATATATATATATATATACACACATATAATGTTCCCGATGTCATAGTTTGCGTATGAACGCATTCTCTGCTGACAAAGCGTTCACAACAATCGGATAGAGTGATAAACGAACCAACGAACATCCGTAATCCGCTTTGTTATCGTGACGTGTTGTCAAGAATTGATAAGGTATCGATTTATTTGGATAGATCGATAGTATATCGATTGATAACTAGTGCAACAATCGAAGAAAGTTCGATGTCAAAAAGGAATTGGCCTTATGGCCTCGTGGCGTGGGTGTTTCTTGTATTTGACACGTGACAGGAGTCTGTCAGTGTCAGTTTGGTCTACACTTGAGGATGTCGGTCCATTTTGCCGTGGAATATGTATAGATGTTCAATGAAAAGTTTCGGCAAACCCTGTTGGCCTGTGAGCAAAACACGAGGCGTTCCGTGAGTCACGCTTCGTTCCGTGGCACATCCCAGTTCTTCCATCTCTGTCTTTAACTTTAACTGTCTACTTCTTTTTATTTCGTTCTTTCTTTCTTCCTCCAATGCAAACTCGTATACTTACTCACTCAGTCTCCCACTTGTATCCCTCGATTGCCCCTTCCATTAACAACCGTGTTGTTGGTAATCACGAAACGGCATATCGAGCCTGGGACGACCGATTCAACAAATGAGAAACGCGTGCACCGATGTTATCGTCAGGGTTCATTCAAGATTACGATCGTGTCAGTATTTCTCTTCTTTGTTTCCTTTCCGTCATTTCGCTTCCTAGAATTCCCCTCTGACGGACTGACTAGTCGCGATTGCTTATTCGTTTCATTCCTTTTAAGTTGGTAGCATGTTAAGCAAGCTTCATAATAGTCTGAAATCCGATCTCCGAAACGTAAGATATGTTACTGGATAGGTTGACGTAAGAATCCAGCTATCAACGGAATGGATAAGAATGGACGAGAGATATCAGCGAAGATAACACTATCGGCGTTGCATGTATATATGTATCCTTGTTCAAAGGTGTAATACTTGGATTATTTCGGCGAATGTAAGCGCAAAATTTTGAAGTCATTCATGATCTTTGTCATCTGGATTATCAAGGACATTTGTTTACAAATCTGTTTTACTATGTCTATCGTTTCTGTCGGAATAATTATCTATCTTTTTTTACACATTTATTGCTTTAGGCAATTTTGACTATTAATTTATTTATCGTATCCGACGTAATTATAATCTAGAACTTTCTCGGAGTTCATATGAAAATAGCTGTAAACTACATAACATTGAATGACAAGATTGTATTAGAAAACTTGCCGTCAACTTCTGCAAACTTTCACAGTGTGAGTTTCAAGTATTTAAGTGTGAATAGTTCCACGATGGAAAATGGCAAGCTTCATCGTATTTTTGAACGGGGGTGTATAAAGATAGACTTGACGGTTTTTAACGGTAAGTGAATAAGAAGAAAGTCGTTTTCATCGAATACGGGGATTGCGTAATAATTGCAGGCTGCTGGAACTCTATGACAAACCGGCTCCGCGAGAAAACACCGCGCACAATCACGTATATGAGTCCTGCGTTTATGTATCTCTGCGTACATGTGGAATTTCTTAATTTGGTCCGATCGACCTATTCTCTGTCTCGAATCGGTCGTAGCCAGTCGATCTGTCTTTTTCGTCGTTTTCATCGGCATCGTCGAAATACGAAGGGACATTGTTTCGTGTATTTGTGACGATTATTATTATTATACCAACTAGACGGGAATCTAGTGTCCACTGCTTTTGAATTTCTATTGTCTATTTTAAGAAAAGCGTGCACCTCTACGCGTGGAAACTATGGAAAGCGCGTGGTATGCTGAAGTGGAACAAATCGTGTATTTTCTTGTCAAATCATTGCATTTGTCATAATTAAGTTTTGTCACGTCAATCACGTTCAAATGGAATACGCCAATTACGTACCATTCGTATGATACTTACACATATTCTTCTTGATTTATCTCTCGCTATCTCATCATCCTCTAGCGTACGATACTCACCCCTATTGCAACAGATGTTTTGTTTCTTTTTCGATTGCTCTTTGACTGATTTTCTTTCTGTTTTAATTTCGCATTAACTACCCGAAACATTTCTTCACACTCGCTCACAATTACGAATGATTCTCAAGTTAATTCTCTCTCTCTCTCTCACTTTCATTGTCTGTTCTCTTCGGTTAGTATACCGTTTCATCTTCTGTGACCTCTAGCGTGATCGTATTAAAAACGTATTTGATTGTTGCGTTAACAGAGCCACGAAAGTGCAAATAAGTTTTATTATCGTCTCAGAGTCTGCGTCTTCTTTGAATGCGCGAGACGATTCTCGGCTGGGCGATCTTCTTTTTCCATTCTCATTCCAATGATATGAAACCTGAGATCACGATGTTTCATGAATCTTCAAAGATTTATCGTTTATTATCGTTTCAACAGAAAATTGAACGAATTCAGATTGCGCGAATTC